TGAGCGCTGGGTTGCGAAGCTGCGCGCGGCCTCTGCGGCGCCGGTTCGATCCCCGGCTGCTCCCCGGCCACCAGAGGAGGGTCCCACATGGCGCGCAGACCCCTCCTGCCGCCCGCTGCTCCCCTCAGCAGTGTACTTCGGTCCTTCTGCCTGCTCTGCTCCCCGCTCTGGCTCTGGTGAATTCTCTCGCCCTCCCGCGCTTCTGACTGTACCCAGTGCATGTATAAACAAAACAAACAAACAAACCAGCAAACAAATAAATAAAGCATGCCTCTATAAAAAAAAAATAAAAAAATAAAAAATAAAAAAAAAGACCCCACCTGACCCTGCCCAAACCAGCAGAGATCTCATGACTTCCTGTGAGACATCACCAGTGCCCATCCAGATTTGTGAGAACCCAGGTCCACATCAGGGAGGGTGCCAGAGCTGCCAGAGGCATCACAAACTTCCCTAAGACCCCCAACAGTCCACACCCAGACATGCAGAGACTTCACAACTTGCTGTAAAATGCACCAATGGCAGGATATAAAATCAACACACATAAATCAGTTACTTCTTATATACAAACAATGAGATAGACATGGAAGATATTAAGCAAGTGACCCCAGTTACAATTACACACACACAAAAAAAAAAAAAATACGTAGGAGTAAATCTAACAATGGAGGTAAAACATCTATATAAAGAAAACTATAAGATATGTTGAAAGAAATAGAATATGCAAAGAAATGGAAAAATATTCCCTGCTCATGGCCTGGAAGAATCCACATTGTGAAAATGACCACCCTACCCAAAGCAATGTACAAATTCAGTGCAATCCCCAAAAAATATCAATGGCATATTTCAAAGAACTGGAGTAAATACTACTGAAATTCATATGGAATCACAAAACAGCCAGCACAATCTTGACAAAGAAAAAAAGAGAATGGAGATATCAGACTTCCAGACCTCAAGCTACATTTTAAACCCATAGTAATTAAAATACTCTGGTACTGGAACAAAAACAGTCACACATACAATTAGAATTGAGAACGCGGAAACAAACCCACATATATATCGACAGTTAATCTATGATAAAGGAGACAAAAACATGCACTGTAACAAGGATAGACTCTTCAATAAATGGTGTTGGGGAAACTGGACAGCTGCATGTAAAGAATGAAACTAGACCATGATCTTACACCACACATCAAAATCAACTCAAAATGGATCAAAGACTTGGATGTACAACCTGAAACCTAGAATACATAGGAGAAAACATTTCTTGGCCTAAGATTTAGTGATGCCTTTAAGGATTTTTCCCCAACAGCAAGGAAAACAGAAAAACATAAGTAGCTGGACTAAACTAAAAAGCTCTGTACAGCAAAGGAAATCATAACTAAAACAAAAAGACACCCTACTGAATCATAGAAAATATTTGCACATCATACATACAAAGAACTGATATCAAAAATATACAAAGAACTCATAAAACTCTACAAAAAAAAAAACAACACAAATAACCCAACCAGGGCCTCTCCTGGTGGCACAGGCTGGCGAGCGCCCCGCTGTGAAGCTGTCTGCAGCCTCAGCAGCGCTGGTTCAATCCCGGCCAGCTGGCGAGGGTCCCACATGGCGCAGCAGACCTCTCCTGTCTCGCCCGCTGCTCCCCTCAGCAGTGTATTTCGTCAGTCTGCCTTTTCTGTTCCCCGCTCTGTCTCCGGTGAATCCACTCACCTTCCCATGCATCTGGCCTGTACCTCGGTACTTGTATAAATAAATAAAAAATAAATCTTTAAAAAAAAATAACCCAACCAAAAAATGGGTAGAAGAATGAAACAGACACTTCTTCAAAGAAGAAATACAGACTGAAAACAGGCACATGAAAAAATGTTCACCATCACTTATTATGGAAATACAAGTCAAGACCACAATGAGATACTATCTCACCCCTGTGAGAAATGGTCCATATCGAAAAGACCAGAAATAACATGCCGGCAAGTATGTGGAGAAAAGGGAACACTCCTGCACTGCTGATGGGAATACAGATTGGTCCAGCCCTTGTGGAAAGCAGTATGGTAGTGACTTAAAACATTAAAAATGTTCTGCCAATTGATCCAGTAATTCCACTCCTTCCTAGGTATCTACCCACAAAATTCAAAAACACGAATTCAAAAGGAAACTTGCACTCTCACGTTTATTGCAGGACTATTTACTATTTACATATAGCTGAAATATGGAAACATCCGATATGCCCCAGAACAGATGAGTGGATAAGGAAAACGTGGTATATATACACAATGGAATATTACTAAGTGATCAAAAAAATAAATTCATGCCATTTGTGGCAACATGGACGGAACTGGAAAGAATTCTGCTAAGTGAAATAAGTCAGGAGACAGATAAATACAGGATGGTGTGACTAGTATGTTTAATAACTAAATGAATAGTCAGATAAAGACAAGCTGAAAAATGAATCCTTGATAGCTGACTACAGAACTGAGGCACCAAGGTGGGGGGGCGAAGAACAGAGCGAAGGAAGCACAATGGTCCATGGTGGTGGAATATGGGTGACTTGCTGGTGGGTGCACTATGATGGTATTACCTTATGGGGGTATCCCAATATTACCTCAATTAAAAATAATTAATTTTTAAATTTTTGAAACAAAACCAATGGAATATGGTGGAGGACTATGTGTGCTTTGGTGGTGGGAGAGCTACGGTGACCACACCTGCTGAGAAATCCTATGCAGTCAAAATATATATTATACACAATGGAATATTACTCAACAATCAAAAAAGATTAACTCATGTCATTTGCAGCAACATGGAAGGAGCTGGAAGGGATCATGCTCAGTGAAATAAACCAGAAAGAAAAAGAAAAATACCGGATGGTCTCACTCATAGCAGGAATTTAGAAAACCTAAATAAGGGATCAGGAAAAAGACTAATTATAATAAAGTAAAAATTGAAATCAAAAGGCAACTATAAACCAGAGACACACTATGGGGGTGTGGGGGAGGGAAGGAGGGCGTAGGATCAAAACAAGGGGGATGGGAATTTTACGGGGACGATAACCAAGATGAAAATGCATACATTGTGCAAAAATGAAAAATGATATAAAAGATATATAAAATAAACTTTAAAAAATATTATGTATTTTTTAAGATTTATTTTATTTACTTATGCACATAATAACTGGGGTTTAGGCCAGAGATGTAGGGGGTGAGAGGATTCACCAGGGACAGAGTGGGGAGCAGAACAGGTGATCTACTGAAATACACTGCTGAGGAGAGCAATGGGTGAGACAGGAGAGGTCTGCTGCACCATGTGGGTGATACCACTGAGACCCAACCCCTAGGCTACGAGGGAGGCCCTGGCTAAGTTTGAAAAGTGTTAAAATGAATATATTTATGCCCATCCCCTATACCTTCCTAATAGAATTCAACATAATTGATGTAACCAACTCACATCAGGGTCTCATTATTTGATCATAATATCAAGGTGCTGCCCTAGGGTCCAACCAGCACATAGCTGACTGACATGTCTCTTTTCTCCAGAAGCCAGACAAACCATTCCATAGCTCCAACATCTCAAAGTCTAGCCAAAGATCAAGACTTTTACCTGGCTTCGAAATTTCTAACACAGTGATGTCGATTTGGAGCGGTGTTGGGTTCAGGGAGTGGGGTCCCTCAGTTACTTCTCAGAAAAATTTCACCAGAGTTCCCTTTTCAGCAGCACAGGGCAAGTTTCCCCAGAGGAGTTTCCCCACAAGGCAGAAGACGGTTAGTTATATCCAAAAATGTAGGTTTATTATTTTAAAAAGGAAAGAAAAGAAAAGGATGCTTGCACAGACACAACCAGGCAGAAAGAGCTGCCCCTGAAAGGGACAGATTTGTTAGAAGAGACGCTTGCATAGACACAGGCAGGCAGTCTTGGGAGGAGAGCTGCTGGTCCTGTTTTGCAAAGGGAGAAGGCTGGTGAAGCGAAACACCTGCATAGTCACAGGCAGGCAGGAGAGCTGCATTTTATCAAGGCAGAAATTGCACTGATACCGTTTTCTTCTCTTTGGGAGGGGTTCATTCCTTTTTGGAACTGCTATCTATTGTTGGGTAAATTACTTCCAGGGTGTGACTAGGTTGATTTGCAAGCACAGGTGCTGACTCTCTACAATGGCCCAAATCTCTACAGCCCCACCTCTGGTCTGCATCTCAGGATACTCTCTACAGCAGTCCGATACTTGCTAGGTATCAGCAGTTAGGACGTAAGGATTTTTCATTCCTATAGCTGGTTTAATAACTGTTTTCATCATTTCTACCCACACCTCCAGTTTCTGGTCTTGTGATGCCTCCATCCTGAGTTTTCACCTCTTAGCCTCCATCAGCAGACCCACTGACAGCAGGCCCACTGACTATTCTCAATGCGACAGGGCCAGGCGGTCGGGGTGGGGGGTTGGGAGGGAAATCACCTTATTTGTTTAATGCTAGTGGAGACAAAGCATTGCTATGGGAACTTCAGGAAACCAAGCTCAAACTTTTCTCTCACAGGATAGAAGGCAACAGAAAGGAAAAGACTCTTTTAAATACATAGAGAGAGCCACAAATGTCACCAAAGGAGGGTGGGGAGAGGGAAAAGGAGAAGCGGAGAGGGAAAAGGGGGAGAAGGGAAGGAGAAGAGAAGGGCGTAGGGGAGGGAGGGAGATGAAATTTTATCTTGCCCAAGATCAAGTTTCACATAATGCTAATTAGATTACCATATACTGGTAAGATTAACTTTCTCGGCCTACAGATATTTTAAGCACCCCCAAGTCATAAGATTCAGGGAGAATTAAGATGGACAGTGTGTATATTCCTTCCTGCTTCCCAGTGTAGAGCAGCTATGTGGTTTCCTGAAGATTTTGTTGCTGGAGCTAGGGATAAAAGTTTTAGACACCCAACAATCTGCAAGTCTCCAGTTTCTGTTCTTCCTCCCTCCGTCTGCCTTCCCCTCCCCCACTTTGCACCAGACAAACTCGGGCGTGCTTTTAACCTTGTGAGCACTAATCTGAAAGAGGAAGGAGAATCTGCATGCATTGGCTAGCAAAAGTGCCCTTCCCTCTCTTCTCTTGAAAACAGCAGCAGCCCATCTTCTTAAAGAAACTTGCCTAAAGAACAGGCACCTTGTAAATGAAGTGCACTTTCAGGGAATTCAGATTCACTGTTCGGCTAATCAACATTAGCTCTCCGAGGGATGAGTAAATTGGACTTACTGAAGAATTTAAGATCTTCTGAGTGTGAATGCAAAAGGACCCTGAATTGTCAACCTTAAAGTTAGCAGGTAAGGAGATTCAACATTTCAACGCTAGGACCAGAACGGTGGAACAGTAGGTAGTAAAAGTCCACTGATGGCAGATTTTAGTAAATTCTTGGGAATTTAGGGATAACTAATCTGCCTTGCTTGCTTTAAATTAGGCTGCTAGTATGAATTCTCTCTGCTTTATTTCTTGGTCAGATATTTGAAAATCTAATCCGTTTGTCAGCAAGTTTTGCTCATTGCTTTCTGCTAAGGGCTCAATGCAGCAAAATATAGATGGCACATTCTTTCATGCTTTCAACACTTTTCCAACTAAGTCAGAAAAAGTAGGGCATAATTTAAGGAATCAACAGAGTTTATCTGATCTGTAATGGCAGTTTTCTTAAATATGAAATATATATAGACTGCTGGAGGTAAACCAAACAATAAAGATCTAGTATTTTCACGAGGAAATTTCACATTTGATTATTCCTGTACCTATTTTACTAATGAGGAAATACACTCAGAAAAGTTAAGAAAATTTTCTGGAAACATACTACACAACCAGAAATTGGTGAGTTCTGACTAGAGACTGCAAATAGAAAGCTCTCACAACTATAAATTAATATAAGGAAATTGAATGATCTCTATATCTAACATGGACCAAGTTTACACAAAACCAACACTTCATACATTTTAATCAAAATCTTTGGCCAGGAGCATTCCCGTATTTACCAGCAAAGAAGCTGTTTTCTAGAGTAAACATATGGGTTGGTCACTTCCACCTCTAGCTGAAAAAACTCTTGATTTCAGTGGTTACTACCTTCCAGTGCTCTAATTGCTCTGAAACTTAGACATGACTATACATTGTTCAGGTGGTTATTCAAAAACAAAATGAAATTAAACCTGGACTTCGGACTTCATTTTAGTTCAAATATATCAATGAATTTTGTTTCCAGTTTATGTTTATGGTATCTATTGCAATTTTTCAAAAGTATTTTTTGTTGCTGCTTTACTATTAATAGCCCAATTAAAACTGAATGTTCTGTTTACATGGTATGCAGCCATCCCATTAACAAAAACTTCTCCCCAGATCCCCATAATATTTAAATAACTACACTAGAAAATAAGTTCCTGAAAATGAAATAAATCTGCCTGGAATCCAGTGAACCCAAGTAGAATGGTAGGTTAAATAAAGTTTTCAGATTTAGTTCAGTCTAAATCTAGCATTTCAGTATATTTCTAACCCAGAATCATCCATTTCATTTCCTACTGTCCTTTCCTTCTTATCTTTAATCAAATTTTGGATTTGTTTAGGAGCTATATAACTGTGATAAAAGCAAGATTCTTCCATGGTGCAGAAAATTATAAATTAGCCTTTGTAGTATCATTGGCTGATAATAAGGGATTAAAAGGATGACATCAATCTTTCAAATATATATCCAATCTCATGAATTTGATGCCATGAAGGGTAACTATCATATTCTCCCAAATAACATAGCTCTGCATGGTTTGATCTATTTTGTTATTTTTTAATGCTCTTAGTAAAATATCTCTGATCAGTTGCTATCCAGTTAAACAAGTATCGAATAAGCTCAATACTGTATATAGCACAAAGTCAGTCAAGACATAGTTCCTGCCCTTAGGGAACTTACAATGTTGGTGGAAATATAAGATCTACAGAACATAAAAATATAAAACGTGGTGGTGGGAATTTTATGGGGACTACACCTGAAAGGAAAAATCAATGATGTAAAATATATAAACATTAAAATAAAAAAAAATATATGACCATAAATTAATGTTATGTTTTTTAGTGGCAAAAGAGTTTAGGAAAGAAAAATAACCATTGGTTGGACTGAATGGAGAAGGCTTCACAGAGGACATTAAATGAGATGAGCTTAAAAGAATATCCAGGATGTGGAACCACGTTGATCAACTTTTCTAAACACAAAATAAATGGTCAATATATGTTGTTTGACTAAAGGACAAGAAAAAGTCAAAACTAACAAAGGTGACCATAGATCTGAGGCCTACAGCAAGGGAGGAGGGAAAAATAGAGGAGGAATGAACACAAGGGAGTATGGTAATGATTCATGGGTGATATGATAGTGGGAGAACTATGAGGACTACAACGATGTAAGGGAAAAATTTTAATTAACTAATAAAAAAAAGTGAAGACAACTTAAAATTTTGGTTGAATTCAACTCTCATCATAGAAATCATGTCAGAAATACATTGCATCAGAAGTGAGTTTGATATCTATAGGATACCTGGAGGAGCCCCATTTAACAAGGGTGAAGGAATTGAGTTGAGGAGTAACAGAAAAATAAATTTGGATATAAATTTAATGTCATATTATTAAACAGTGAATTGCAGGCATTTTATGGTAAATCATATCAACAAAATTTTAATAAGTAAAAACATGATGAGAAAACATTTGAGTACATTAGTCTGGGAGAGTCTCTTAGACCTGACCATATTTGGAAGAAACTGGAGACAGAGAGAGAACACTTAATGAGAAGTTAATGAGACTCTAGGGTAGGTTTCTGGCAGTGAAAATGGAATGGAAAAGCATGCAACAAACATTTAAAAGGAAAAACAGATGAAAATTGGTGGATGATTCGATACAGGCAATATAGGAGAGGAATAAATCAGCTGTCTTTGAAATTTGGAACCTGTGGGATATGGGCAGTGCTACTATTCATAGAAATAGGTAATTTGGAGATGGAAGTGGGAAGTTTGGGACAGGATGAGTTCTGGTTTTGACCTAATAATGAGTTTGAGGCAATGACAAGAATTCCTAGAAGCAGTGTCTGGTAGATAGAAATAATAGCCCTGAATATGAGTGATGAGTGAGAAGTGGAGGCCAAAGTCACAATCTAGAGAGTGTGATGGCCACCCTAAAAGAATGACTAAGCTGAGAAAGTAAATCTAAGAGATGACTGAAGACTGAAATTTGTGTACTGCCTCGACTTAGGGGCAAGAGGCAGAAGAGAGTCTTGAGAAATAAGAGCCAAAGGAATATAATTCCTCTACTGAGAAGACACCAAGAATGTGGGGAGAAGGCATGAGGCTATTCTTTTAAACCTCCCCCCTCCCTGCCCACCCAATAATAACTACCACAGTGTCTCATACACATCATGGGCACTGAAAAATATAAAGTCATTCTAATATAGGCAAACACAAGAGTGTTTTGCTTCAAGCTATCTTCCAGTTTGAGCTCTATCATAAACTCTGTTAACTCACAATGGTTACTCTAAACTACCTTGTTGCATGGATTTCAATGGAAGGGAAACCAGGTCTAGATTACTGGGAGTTCATTCTTTTAATCATCTGTGTGTGTTCTAATAAGTTACAAAACATCGTTATTTCTTGGTTTTCTCATGTATCAAATGTAATAATAAGCGTATATGGCTGTCTTTCAGATGTGTTAAACTGATAAATATGAAAGCAACTTAAATACAAACCACCATCCAAACGGATCTTGTTTCAATTTTATTCTAGAATAGAATATACAACGTATACAACATAAATGATTGCATGTGGAGGAAGTAAGGACTGTTAATTTCTGCTCTCAACACTACACATCTAGACCACAGGCCTCATTCTAAGCATTATCAGTGTCATCCTACTCCTAGAACCTGTCAGTAGGATCCAGCCCTCTGGCTACCACTAACTCTACAATATCTGTATAAGGTTCAATATGATTCTAAAAATAATGAAACACTTATGATTGGTATTTAAGATACATTCCTATAAAAACACTATCTACCTTTTTTCATTAGCTATTATTTTCATTAAGACCATTGTTTCTTAGGGCCAAATGTTAAGAATAAAAATATTTTTTTACACAGAATTATGGATTTAACATAATATTCTACTACTATGTCATAAAGCTACTTGTCCAACCACAGATTGAGATATGATACAAACTACATTCCCAGAATATACAGGTGGGTATAGGGCATGTATCTCTCTCCCTAAAACACAAAGACTTAAAGTCATTTTTGTCCCTCACATTAATGTTGTTTGGTTTCAAGCTGCATGGATGTCTACATGGTATGATCTGAGAGGCATTGAGAAACAACTTTCCCAGTTCAGTTAGTTCTGAGCAGACTCCATGTAGATATATTAATACTAATGAACCCTACAAAAGAGATTAATGAGTCAGAATGCCAATTTATTGATTTGTAACAAGGAAATACAATTAATAAGTCTGATAGACTCATAGTAGGTGATGGCATATGCTCATCTTTACAAAAAAGGCAATAAAGAAGCCATTTAATATGAGGAGATAAATACAAACATCTTAAATCCATTCATTCATGTTATAGTACTCATGCTAAAACACTGCCTACTGACAATAACTCTTGCCTTCCATTAAAAATTCTTCATAGAAAAATTAATTATTCATAGGTTGAGAGAATAAACCAGTGTTTAAACATAAGTTGTATAACAAACTTTTCTATCCTGCTTCCTCATTCCATTCCATTCTGTTCCATCCCACCAATATTCCTTCCTTCATTGTGCCCCACCAGTTTTTCTTTTGGGTTTTTGCAGGGGGTATGTAGTACATTTGAAAGAAAAAGGTATACATGCTTGGGAGAAGTTATTTAGGGAGGGACCCTGATAGAAATAGGGAGAATGAGACAAAACAGAAAAGTAAAGATAGACCCTTGAGCATTTAAACTGAGTTTGTTTTCGTTTTGATGAATAAAATGGGATTATCTTATTTAGAGTGGAATCACACATCCCAGACATTTGAGCTCCTACTTAGCTTGATGGGGAAAAAAAGGAGCTTTGATCTAGACTTCGATTCTCCTAGTGCATCAGGCCTTTTTATTTTTCCTATAAAGGAAAGACAAATCCAGTTTGGAACCACATCTTAAGATAGCTAGCTTGTTAAATGAAATTGAAGTAACCATAACAGCACTAAAACATTTTTAACACATCTTACATATTTATTCCAAAGTTGTTAAGATAGCCCCAGGCCTCAGAAGATATTAAAAGCTTCCTTTCATTCCAAATTGGTTACCCTTTAT